TGGCTGGGCACCAGGGCATACGGTGCCAAATTGTACCCACAATTTAGGCAGGTGTTATCTTTGGCTGGGCAATGTCCCACGATATGTTGATGGGTACAAGACCTACAGGAGGCGTGTGAGTCCTTGGTCAACAGTGGAAACTGACAGCATTGAGGCGTGTGCTCGGTCGTGGCTGTCATGCCCTTTACAAGGAACCTGTTTTTTATTCACATCTTTAGCGTGCTGCTGCAGCACAGGTGCTGCGATCCCCTGTGCAGAGCTTCCAGTGAAACACATATGGGGAGGTATATGTCTTGTGTGGCTAGGGGTAGACTGTAGAGGCCCATTAGTACAGAGTAGTCTTTGAACTTGCGATGCCACTGATGGAACAGTTGATAGGTGACGTCGGACTATAGCTGAGAAGGGCTGGGTATCAGAGTACCTATACCTGGGTGCCTATGACCAGAGCAGTAATGGGAGCATGTGGAGATGATGTAGTGGCAACAGTCGGAACAGGTGGAAGCTGGTGGGCAGCTGGTGCTTGCTGTTCCGGGATGATGGTTTACAGTACCTGAAGTGGCTTGGGAGCTATCATGTTGAGTAGCTGCAAGAAGTGTCTTTTCTTGTCAGAAATATGGATGTCTTACAGGTCTTGGTTACCTGGACTGTGCCGCTAGGGGATGGATGGGTGAAGGGTGAGAGGGGTGGGAGGGATGGGGGTACATCAGCTTCACCACTCTCAAGGACATTTGGCTCACTGCTGTCATCACTACTATCACCCAAATCATAATTTCTGGCCTGGAAAAGGTCTTCCTAAGGCATAGCCAAGTCGTGTTTTGTATCTGTGAAGACGTGGTCTTACAAACAGTGCAATGTTAATGATGGCAATAGTGCAGTAATTCGTTCTGGGGTGTGGAGAGCGAAAAAAAAAAAAAAAAAATCTGCAGTATGTGCAATGTGCGGTGGGGGAGGTTTTGTGTGTTTTGCGCTCGGTAACGGCGGTTGAGGTGAGCAGTCCAGTCAGTTACTGATTGGAACTGGGAGGGTGGTTATGCCTCATGCGCTCTCCAGGTTGGCGAGAAAAATGGAGTTGCATCGGAGGCGATGCTGAGACTCCCGCAAGCCTTCCCCACACTAAATGCACAAACACTGACATTGTACTATAACAATATCGGACACTATAAAATCGATGACGAAAATTCAAAGTTAGGAGACGGGAACAATGGTTGCAAGACTGAGAGGAGCAAATCAGTGCCTTTCAGGTTCACTTGCAGAATTCACTTCTCACTGAGCCATCTTCTGTTTTTTTTTTTTTTTTTTTTTTTTTTTTTTTTTTTTTTTTTTTTTTTTTTTTTTTTTTCTCTGGTTGTAAGTGAGCTTTATTGATGCAAAATACCACACACGTCAAAAGTACAAAAGGGCAGGTGCGAGGACAAAATGCAGCCTGCAGTCTCGTCGGGCTCAGCTGTCTCTCTCTCTCCTGATTGGCTGAGGGGGTTGGTGCCTGCATGGAATGTCTGAGGGACCATGACTGGAAGGCAGGACACTGGAATGCAGGGCTCATAAGTGACGCTAGTTATATTCAGACATTGAAACAGATGACGTACATACAATGCAGTATTATAGAATGTAATAGACTTTAAGTAATTAGAGAGCAATACATTTAGCATATCATAGCCACTTGTCTCTAACTTTTCACATTTAAACAAGGGTATTGCCATTCATGCCAGCATTTTTTTTTTTTTTTAGCTAGATTCAGTGGAGCCACTGCCACCCAGTTCGAGCGATCCTGACTTTTCCATCCACTACACTACTGGTTCGATGTCCCGGTCCTTTTGCTGTGCCTCCTTCAGCTCCCTGTTGACATGTCCTCTGGCAGTACTCATAGAGTTCGTTCTTGCTGCAGTGCCGGCAGTCTGGTTCACAAGACCGCCTACTGAGTGCATCGGCGTTGACGTGGGCCCTCCCTGGTCAGTGAATCACCTCACAATTATGCTGATCTAACTTCCTAATCCATTGTGCCGGTTGCCCTTCTGCGTTTCTTAAAGTTTTCAGCCTAGGAAGAGCTGCATGGTCGCTATGGACGGTAAAGTTCTGCTCAGCCTTGTTGGAGTCGCACCCATGATAAGCCATGACAAGCTCATGTCTGCCTTTCTCTTGAGATAATACTGCTCTTACTCCATCCATACTCGCTTCATAGTACAAGATGTAAGGGTAATGTGGATCCAGGTACATCAGCACTGTTTGTGATAGTGCTTCCTTCAGTTGGTTGAAGGCCACACGACATTCCTGGCTCCACTGGAAATGCACACCCTTGATGCAGAGGAGTGGCAATACTGGCAAAATTCCTTACAAACCTTCAATAGTATGTACAGAGCCCAAGGAAGCTTTGCACTTCTTTATCCTTGGGTTCTGGCCATTCTTGCACAGCCCTCACCCTTTCCGGGTTGGTTTTCACTCCATCTCTACTCACTATATGCCCTAGGAATGGCATCTCAGTCTGGAAAAGCACACACTTTTTAGGGTTTAACTTTAGATTGGCCTGCTTAAAGCATTGGAATACCACCTCTAGTCTTTCTAACTCCTGCTCAAAAGTGTCCCCATACACAATGACATCTAAATAGACTCGTGCTGATTTCCACTGTAGGCCATCTAGAATGCGTTCCATAAGACGTTCAAATGTGGTGGGTGCATTGCATAAACCAAAAGGCATAACTTTAAACTGCCATAGTCTTTGACCAAATGAAAATGTTTCACACTTATCTTCCTCAGCCATCCTTGCCTGGTAGTACCCACTTTTCAAATCAAGAGTACTAAACCATGGTGTCCCCATCAGTGCATCAAACATGTCATCCACATGCGGCAATGGATAAGCATACTTGATGGTCAACTC